AAATCGAAGTATGATAGTCGATCAATGTTGAGTGTGGTGGTGGGGTAAGTTCAGATGGTGATTGTGTTTGTATTGGAACCAGAGGTTGAGAATTTGGTAATGTGGAAGGATATTGTTCATGTGTAGGCTGAGAACATGGAGGCAGAACTGTTAGAGGGTGATCAACATCAATATGAGGTACAAGTAGAGGAGATATGATGATTATCAAGAGGTGTGGATGGAGTGGTAGTTGTTTTGAAAGTCAAAACACTACCAAATTTATAATAACTTTTCTAGTTTTTTTTTTTTTTTAATTTGTTAATAAAATTTAACTTTTTCTCGATTACTAAATACCCCTTATTAAATTGGACCAATGGATGATATGAGAATACTAGAACTAGTTTCGGATTCTGCTGTACAGGGTGGTAATCGATGAGGCGGCGCTACTAGACGACTAGTGGCTTCTCATGCTGGTACTTTTACTGCTCGCACTGGTGTACCTGACGAAATGGCAATGGTCCATGGTATTGCAGCGGATAGTCGGATACTGCTTCGGATTTTGACCAAGGTACTGTCGGAACTAATGGAATGTTAGAGGGGGCAAAATCTATCCCTGGAAAAACACTTCATTCGTAGCAAACATCTTTGATTCCTTCAAAGACCCACCCCGCAAATAGTAATCAAACTCCTATTCTTCGCCCCACTGCCGCAGCTGCCAGCTGGAGATAAGGCCGGTCCTATAATTTTATAGGCCCGGGGCAAATAAAAACAAGGACCCTTAATATATGAAGTTAAAAGATTGTTTGGATTAGATGAAAATAATTAAATGATAATTTTGAATTTTTGTATACATATAACTTTTTATTAAAAAAAAAAAGCATTTTAGATTAGTCTTGGAGTAGTGGTTTGTCAAACATTGGGACCCTATATGAAGCTTTTTGAATGCAACTAGTCCACAAGGTCTTTGGCTCCCCTATATGAAGTTTAATTATAAATTAATTCAACATTGACTAATATATATCTATTAATTGAAGTATATCACATGGGTGTAATTCTTAAGTGGATTTAAAATTAATAAATATTTTTTGAAGTCATAGATTCAAATATTTGCATATGAAAGCATTTATTTTTAACTTCATATATACATACATATATATATATATATATATATATATATATATATATATATATATATATATATATATATAGGGTAAGGTTTAGGTGAGGATACTATCCCACATGAGGACTGTGGACTATTGTCAACCATTTAATTAATAGGATCTATGGCTGTGATTGCACAAAAGGGATGATTAAAATTCACGATTCCAACACGGTAACGGAAGTAATAATCTACGTACGGGGTAAAAAAGTAAAAATAGGTACATCGTGCAAGCCTTTTTTTACGAAAATATGTGAAACGAGATGCTATTCTCTTCTGTTTCCTTCTATAGTGAACACAGAACCCATTACCTTCTGCAATAACCAGACGTAGAGCTTCATTCACCTAAAAAGATTTCCAAGTACACCGGTTGTGACACCCCGGAAATTCATTTCTTAAACCTGAATTAATTTCTTAATTAATTCCTATTTTACCTTACAATTCATTCTTAATTCCCATTGAATATAGTTAAGGGACCTAGTTTGACCAAATCCCTTAGCGTTTCTAATTTGGTCAATGGGTAGACCTTGTGCTTTATTCCTTGTACTCTTCACGTTAATTTTCTCCTAGCCTTTATGTGGAAAGAAGGGGTCATTTTGGTCTTTTCATAAATTTCTAGCTTTAAGCCCTACCCTAGCCAAGATACTCCAGCACATTTCAGCATTTCTTCATCTCTTTACACTCTATCTTTCTTTGCAAGCCACCCTAAATCCTCCCTTGAAGGCCACCAAGATTCCACCTTTCTTCACCTACAAGCTTGGGAAGGGTAAGTCCTAGGCTCCTTTGGTTTTATTTCATAGTTTCTCACCTCCTTTCTCTAAGATTTCTTGTGTTGTTGGGTTTTGGTTGGTGTAATGAAGATCTTTTGGGAAGAGGACCTTCAAGAAGAATCTTAGGAGTTTGTGAAGTGTTGATTAGGCTACAAAGGTAACCCATGTCCTATAAAATCTATTTCATACTTGCTATGATGATTTTTTGACATTATTGATGCTATTCAGTGATTTTGAGCATATTCTTGTGTTTATGTCATGTTAATGCTTGTATTTAGGGTTCTTTAATGCTATTCTTTGAGTTATTCTATGTGTTCAAGTTCCTTTGTTGATGGGTATGAGTTTTGAGGTGTTTTTGGACTTGAACTTGAGCATTCTTGCATTTTTCCCTGAAGGGATTTTCTTCTCAAGTTCAGTACCAGTGGGACCCTGGTGGGTGGTTCACCACCCACTGGTACGAGTGTTCAGTGGGACCCTGGAGGGTAGTTCACCACCCACCGTACCACCCAATGGTACGGTGTATTGATTTCTTGACCTCTTGTTTTGTTGATCCATTGTGCACTTGTGTGTCTTTGTTGATGTTTCGTAAGTCTAGAAAGATGTCTTAAGTACCGTGATAGGACTTGTGAGTCTTGAATCATGTTTATGATCCAACTATGTGATTCGTTGGATTGAGATGAAGTCTATGTTGTTCGTATGAGCCTTTATGATTATCTTGTTGAATTGTATGCTAGCTACGTTGTTGTTGGTACTAGTATGTGCTTTCCTTGTAGTGCTCATGCCTATTCTTGATGGGGGTTGGTAACTTGTGCCTACCAATCATTGTGGTCTCTTGAGTTGAAACCTTTTGTTATAGTGGCAATACCTTGGAATGTTTCCTTCATGTTCTTTCTTGAATTCCTTCGATTCAACCTATCCTTGTGAGCTTGTACAAATGTTGTACCTTATCGTGATTATTCCTCGATTAAGCTATTGTTGAGCTTATCCGTTGTTGTACACATTTTGTGTGGAATCTATGCTTTGTTGTATCTCTAGATTCCTTGTGTATTGACTCTTGATGAGATGATTAGATTTGATATGGTGGAACAGTGAACAGTGTGGGGACTTATGTATTACTGATATGTGATTGGCGGGCCTCTGGCTTTGTTTGCAATGGGTCATGTTGGTGTCGGAAGACCTTGACAGGTCGGTGGTGTGGAAAGTCCCGATCAACCATTGTGCCGTTTGGATTATTGATTTGTGGGCAACTTGGGAAACTTATCTCGGTTGCTAGAGAAGGTAGCTAACCCGTTGGGCTTGGAATCCCAATAGGGGGTGTATACACTTAAAGTTGCTAGATCTGTTTCCATTGGACTGCGATCCGAGTCGTTGCTGTAACACCTCGTGTTACGACCCCTAAAACCAAATTAATTAAACAATTACTCAGCCCAAAAAGGGAGTTAAAATCCACTAATTAGCTAAAGGCAAATTATGCCGTGCAACCGAATGCACCTAGCAAGGTGCATACAGTTGCAAAACGGCGCCGTTTTACTAAAAAAACGACACGGCGCGCACAAAATAAAAAAAAAAAAAAATTGGATGGCCGTTAGCGGCGTTATTCATATCATATTTGGTAGTTTTGCGATTTTTTGGTAGTTTGGCGTTTTGATTGCAGTATACGTAAAATCGCAATCGCAATAGTGATCGCAGTCGTTTTCCTGATTTATTGTATGGATCTCATGATGGATGATGCAGTAGACCAGAGAGACGAGGCATTAGATCAGAGAGATGAAGCAGGCGATGAATTGCATACGGTTCCAGGTTATTTTGCAGTTTGATTTTTATGGATTTGTGGTCGTTTGCGATTTTTGCAGTGTGATATATTGTGTAGGTGTTTATATTTAGTGTGATGTTTATTGTGTATGTGATGTTTATGTGATTCTAGTCTGAGATCATTCGTAACTCTTGGTGTTTATGTGTTTATGGTTTTCTGAATGAACGAAATATATATCCATATTCTTTGAACTATAAAACCAGAAGTTGTGAGCTATATATCCAGAATTATAGTAGTATATATCAAGGATTTTGTGAATGGATACTCTGTTCTGGATTGTATATCCATAATTATTGAACTTTTATGTCCAGAAACTGTGAGCTTTATATCCAGAATTCTATCACTATACATCCAGAATTATAATACTATACATCCACAAATTTCTAAACTGATACTCTGTTCTGGCTTTTAACACTATGCAGTCAGTGAAGATGTTGTTGTTGATTCACCAAGTTCAGATCCAATAGAGTTAGACATTGATGGTTTTTCTTCTAATCCAGGTCTATATGTAGTTTTATATGATCATAATTCACAGTGTTCAGCATTGTTATATGTTCATTCTTTTTCCATGGAAAATGTTATTCCTTTCGTAGAGCATGGCTGGATTTATTCGGCATTCCCCGCACCCCCTCTACATAGGAATTATATTTTCAATGGAACGTGTATTATTTAGTATACTTGAGGTTATATATTGCATTTGCAGTTGATGAAGATTTGGTTGGTGTTGTTGTAAGTAACGGGGTTGAAGCGTATGAGTTGTATAACAATTATGCATATAGAGTTGGTTTTAGTGTGAGGAAGGGTAATCAACGGTGCAAGGTATATAGCAAAACAGTCCAAATGAAGATGTTTATGTGTTCTAAAGCTGGTTTTAAGGTTAAGGCAAATGCTGGTGTTAGGGCATATTCAAAAATTGACACAAGGTCAGGGTGTGGTGCATGTGTTCAGTTTGACGTCGGTGAGGATGGGTTGTGGACGGTTACAAAACATGTAAAAGTGCACAATCACGAGTTATGTGCTGTAGACAAGAGTCATCTTCTGCGTTCACATAGAAATGTGGGTGATAATCAACTGTTATATTTAAAAGATTTGAAGAAGAGTGGTGTTGCAATGGCAGATGGTATTAGGTTCTTGAAACATCAAGCAGGGGGGTCTCCATTAGTTGGCTTCACTAATCGAGATGCTTATAATTCAATTGCTTCTGATACATCAAAGCGTTTGGATGGAACCGATTCGAACTCATTAATTGAAATATTTAGGAACAGGCAGTCAACTGAGTCTGATTTTTTCTTTGATTTTGAAGTTGATTGTGATTCAAGACTATGCAGTTTTTTTTGGAGGGATGGTCGGATGAGACAAGACTATGAGTTGTTTGGGGATTTATTAGTGCACGATACAACTTATCGCACTAATAAATATGATATGATTTGTGGCCCTTTTGTAGGGATGAACCACCATTGCATGAATGTAATGTTTGGATGTGGTTTTCTGATGAATGAGAGGATAGAATCATTTGTGTGGCTGTTTAGAGCATTTTTAAGGTCTATGAATGGGAAATGTCCACAGACTATCATGACAGATCAATGTGCATCCATGGCTGCTGCTATTTGTCAGGTGTTTCCAACATCACGTCACCGTCTTTGCATATGGCATATTGGCGAGAATTCGAAGAAGCATATCAAGGCGTTAAGGAATAACAAGGATTTCTTAGATATGTTTAACTGTGTGTTGAAATACACAGAGACTGAAGCTGAGTTTGAATTTTATTGGACAAGGTATGTCCACTACTTTTTTTTTTCCTTTTTCGATTCCAGTAATTGAATTATGGATGTTTAGTATTAGAATTATGGTCATATAGTATTAGAATTATGAATATATAGTATTAGAATTATGTGAACATGTTGTAGTATAGAATGGAACTTCTTGATTGTTCCTGAGTTACATGCATTTAATTTATGGATTTATAGTTTTTTGGAATTGTGAATATACAGTGTTAGAATTATGGACATATAGTATTAGTTGTCTGAACATGTATTAGTGAAGCAGTGAGCTTCCTGTTTGTCTCTAAATTATATGCATGCAATTTATGGATTTATAGTATTGGAATTGTGGATATATAATATTACAATTATGGATATATAGTATTAGTTGTCTGAACATGTAGTAGTGAAGCAGTGAGCTTTCTGTTTGTATTATATGCATTCAATTTGTGGTTTTATTATATTGGAACTGTGGATATATAGCATTAGAGTTCTGAACATATGTCTTATCATTTCAGGTTGGTGACTGACTACAAGTGCCACAAGAATAGTTGGATACAAAAGCTGTATGACTGTAGGGAGAAGTGGTGTCCAGCATTCAATAAGGACTATTTTTCAGGGGGCATTTTATCATCGCAAAGGAGTGAAACTACTAACCATTCGATTTCAAGAAGGCTGTCCAAGACTGCAGGTCTATGTGATTTTTATTCATCGTTTGTTAGTGTAACTTCTGAATGGAGGAGCAAAGAGAATGGTGAAGACTTTCGTTGTACTCAAGGGGTACCCAACATGATGATGGAGCACGTGAAACTTCTGTTACACGCTAGAGAGGTATATACGATTGAGATATATTTTTTGTTTGAGGAACAATTCATGAAAGGCAACGCCTGTCATCAAGAAATGGTGTTGAATGAAGGTTGTCAGTTCAAGTATCACGTATGGCGTCCAGATATAGATATTATAAGGCATGAAGTCAGTTTTAAGTTGTCAACCTTAGACATTTCGTGTAGTTGCAAGTTGATTTCGGAGTTAGGAATTTTATGCTGCCATTGTTTACGCATTCTTCATATACACTGTGTTTCAAGTATTCCTAACAAATATATCATGAAAAGGTGGACTAAAAAGGTTGCTGATGGTAGGGATGTGAATACTGGTTCAATGTTTTGTAGAGCTGGTGTCCCTCCTTCAATTTGGGTTGTGGAGATTTGCAGAAAGTTTCAAAGACTGATTTCATCTAGTCAAGATAACAGTGTAACTAGGCAGTTCTGTGATGAAGCAGTTGAGGAAGCAAAGAAAAAGGTTGAAGCTGAGATTGGCTATGTGCATATTGAAGAGTGCGGTGTTTCATCTTCAAGTGGTGTCATTCAAAATCCTTCAAACCGGAGATCAAAAGGTGAGCGTAACGTAAGGAGGAGTAGTGTTATTGAAAAGAAGTACAGTGCTGCAAGGGGGAGGAGGAGTGCTGCAAATAAAGTTGCTTCGAGTACAAAGGGTGCTGTTCAGTCGTTGGTTTTGGAAAGTCTATCTGAGATTGCCGGGGATGGGTACGTTGTACATCCAAGTTCTGGGAGTTCGGAGTTTTGTCAGTATAGTAATGATGTAGATGATAATGCAGTTGTAGATTGAGAGTGGGGTTAATACCAGTTGGTAGCTAGCTGTTTTGAGGATATCAATTTACAAGTTGTTTGATCTGTGTATTCAAAATTTTAGTACTTGTTGATTTGCAGGTTTGAAGCTATATATCCATAATATTAAAGCTACATATCCATAATATTAGAGCTATACATACATATTCTGAGAACTATATGACCACAAAATATTGGAATTGTGTGTCAAATTAGTAAAAGTGTTCATAATGTTATATCATTATATCCACAATATTAAAGCTATATATCAATATGTAAACTGGTGAACTTGATGTTTACACTTATGTAAAATGTAAGTTCACAGTTGAACGAATATTCATAACTTTATATCAATATGTCCACAATCTTAAACCTATATGTCCATAATTCTGAGAACTATATGACCACAAAATATTGGAATTGTGTGTCAAATTAGTAAAAGTGTTCATAATGTTATATCATTATATCCACAATATTAAAGCTATATATCAATATGTAAACTGGTGAACTTGATGTTTACACTTATGTAAAATGTAAGTTCACAGTTGAACGAATATTCATAACTTTATATCAATATGTCCACAATCTTAAACCTATATGTCCATAATTCTTGAAATATGAATATATGAATATTTGAACGGTATGTTTATACTTATGTAAGATGTTCATAATTTTATATCCATACATCCACAATCTTAAACCTACATGTCCATAATATGAGAACTATATATTCAGTGAATTTCATAGATCGAATTTCAAAAATTGTGATAGAGTTGTTACAAAACGACCAAAGAACAGAAAATATTAAAATATTCATCCACAAAAACATTCATTGATCTTTCCAGTTTTACTTCTTCTTGTCTTCAATCTTTGCAGCTTTCATGACCTCGCCTTTGACGCTGTTCAGCTTTGACGTGATGATACAAGCAGCATACTTTGCCCTCAACTCAAAAATGAAGCTAGCCTGTAAAATAAGAAAAATAAATAACTAGTTCATTGTAATTTTTTCATCACTTTCTGATGTAGTTGGAATGTAATATATTTCTGTTACTCTTACATTCGTGCGCATATGTTTCTTGAACCCAGGATTCCAGTTCTCGAAAGCTCCACCCATGTAAGTCTCCATATGCCGCATTACATATATGCCACAGTCGGTGACATTCTCTGCATTTTTCCAGTGCATGGCAAGGAACTCTACTGGCATGCTGTTCAGTTTGTGAGTCAAGGTGGATTGTCCTGCTGCCAGGTACGCCTTGAATGCTTCAATCTGGTAAAAAATTAGCTCAATGTTCATAATGTTTTAAATTCAATATATAGGTGACAATAAGGAGATTTTTTAATATAATATAAGCTACCAGTTTGTATGGACAGTCCCCATATTTATCAAGCTCTGAAACACCAGCAGGCAATTCCTTGTTGTCTATCACATGAACCTTGGATTCCTTGACATTTATGCACACAACAAAGTAGTGTGCATGGCGATGCACTGGGAAAAATATCTAATTCCAAAACAAAAGGTTATTATTTGAAACAACTACATACCCAAGTACTGTTAACTGCATGGGTATACATTCATATTTGACAGAGTACTATATATACATAATTATAAAACTATATATCCACAATCTTAAAACTATATATCCACAAAATTCAGAAATTTATAAAGATCCTAATAAGCCGAGTATATTCCAAGCTTCAAGCATATAAATCCACAAATTAATAACTATACATCCAAAAACTACATTACCATATATCCAGAATTCTTAACAGTCTGTCCACAGAGTAATACATTCATATATTATCAGAGTACTACATATCCATAATCACATAACTATATATCCACAATTTTAAGACTATATATCCACAAATTCAGAACTTTATAAAGGATCTTATTAAACTTTGTATATTCCAAGCTTCATGCATATATATCAATAATAAAATCTTAAATTATTAAATTAAGTGTGTGTAATAGATCTTACAAGGTCTGCATCACTGATTTCCAGGTTTCCAAAACTTGATATTTCATAATTCAATCTATCATTGAAATTTTCCATCCTTTTCTCAGCTGGGAGACTTTTCATCCAATCATCAGATGGATCAAGCTGGAGCTGTTTTTTAATACACAGAAATGCAAAAAATGAGTATTCAAAAGGCTTAGAGTACTAGATTTTTAAAAATGCGCATCTGCATGTCAAAAATAACTCTTACATGTGGCAGTGTGGTGAAGAATACGCGTTTTGGTATCCCAACAGCACGTTCTGTGTTCTTCAAAGTTAGCCGCAAAGACCAAATATTCAAGAAGTCTATATCCAACTCGCCATTGCTCAAAGTTGAGAAGTGACGCCTTGTTAGGTAGTAGTCACCATAGCTGAACAACAACTCACTACAGCACCAAAATAACAATAATAATAATAACACCAATAGTTATAATAATATGAACTATCTAAGTAATTTAAAGGTTATTATAAATATATGTGTTCAAACATACTCTTCTGGGTGTTCGGTAGACACACTCAAGAATGCATAGTTTGAAATGATTTTTTCCCGTGGAGTTGCAGTTCGTATAAAACCTGCATTCTGTGTCCAGTATGGTGACCTCAAACAAAGAGGCTTGTTCCTGAATCGTCGCTGGGGTCTCATCCTAACAGTCACGTCCTCAACATCAGACTCACTTTCTTGCATGACACTGTTGTTTATATATCCACAGTATTAGAACTTTATATCCATAATATTAAACATATATGTACATAATCATAGAACTATATATTCACAGATTTAAAATGTTCATAATTTTATATCTATATATCCACAATTTTCAAGCTATATGTCCACAGTTGTAAAAATGTTCATAAGTTTATATTCATAATTTTAGCACTATAAATTCATAACGTTAAAGCCAAATGCAAATAACAAACTGTAAATTTACCAATCAAAGTCATCAACATCAGCATCAGTAGCAGCGACATGACGAACATATCTCTGAAATGGGACCCTAACAAGTGGAGGAGTTACTTGTGCTCCCAAGGTCGTTGACAGTCCTGCATCCTCTCCAATTTGTTGAACCAAAGCATCCAATGGTAGGTCCTCTTCAACTACTTGCTCTGTGTGTTGCTCACATGGCTGCGGTTGCGATTCATTGCAGTGTATTCCCAAATCAAATGATGGAGCTTCAAATTCCATGGTTTTTGTTGTCTTCTGAAATGCTTCCACCAATGAATCCACTGCAGCGGTGAAGGTTTCACTCCCAAAGAATATGTCATCCAACTGAGATTCAGTTGGAATGGAAGTTGATTCAATTGCACTTGCAGCACCTAGCATGTTTGATATCCCTGAGAATGCTTTCTTCATGACTTCAATAGGTGCGCCCTGCTTTCCAATTTCAGACATAGCTTCACCAAACTCCAGGACATCTGATGCTAGCTTTTGGAGCACACGGGTCACCCGATCAACACTTGAGAGTGGCTCACTTGTAGTTGGTGTCGGTGTTGCAGTAGCAGGAGTAGAAGAAGTAGTAGCAGCAGCAGTAAATGCAGGTTGTGGTAGTGAGGTTGTAGCAGCAGCAGTGCTTGCAGGTTGTTGCAGTGAGGTGGTAGCATCAGTCCTTGGCTTCTTAACTCTAGGGATAACCCTTCCTTTTCCAAACCCACCAGCCCTTTTTTCAGCCTTGACTCTCTTTCTTACAAGCGTGGTTGTCCAAGCAAGTATGCTAGGGTATGTTCTGTTGATCTTCATTCCTTTGAATTCTACTCGATCAAAGTAGAACAGCTACAAATTACAGAAGATTATGTTAAAGATGAATTTAGAACAATTTATCCATGTATTCTTAATTGCATGGTCACAGTGTAATGCATAACTATATGTCCATAATCACATAACTATATATCCATAACTTTAAAACTATATATCCACAAAATTCAGAAATAAAAAATGATATTAATAAAATGAGTATATTCCAAGTTTCATGCATATATGTCCATAAACCCATAAATATACATCTAAAAACACATTAATATATATCCAGAATTATTACCAGTATGTCCACAGAGTAATACATACATATATTCACAGAGTACTACACATCCATAATCACATAACTATATATCCACAATTTTAAAATTATATATCCACAAATTAAACTGCATAAAGGACCTCATTAAACTGAGTGTATTCCAAGTGTCATGCATATATATCCATAAACCCATAACTATACATCCAAAAACACATTACTATATATCCAGAATTATTAACAGTATGTCCACAGAGTAATACATTCATATATTCACAGAGTACTATATATCCATAATCACATAACTATATATCCACAATTTTAAAACTATATATCCACAAATTAAATTGCATAAAGGACCTCATTAAACTGAGTGTATTCCAAGTGTCATGCATATATATCCATAAACCCATAACTATACATCCAAAAACACATTAGTATATATCCAGAATTATTAACAGTATGTCCACAGAGTAATATATTCATATATTCACAGAGTACTATATATCCATAATCACATAACTATATATCCACAATTTTAAAACTATATATCCACAAATTAAATTGCATAAAGGACCTCATTAAACTGAGTGTATTCCAAGTGTCATGCATATATATCCATAAACCCATAACTATACATCCAAAAACACATTAGTATGTCCACAGAGTAATACATTCATATATTCACAGAGTACTATATATCCATAATCACATAACTATATATCCACAATTTTAAAACTATATATATCCACAAATTAAACTACATAAAGGATCTTATTAAACTGAGTATATTCCAAGTTTCATGCATATATATCCATAATAAATTGTTAGTTATACACCTACAACTACATAAAATTCATGCAACTAGATTAAAGACAATAAGAACTGACCAATATCAATGTCATTGGCCCCCAAAAGCTTCTCTTTCTATCTTCATTGTAACTATCTATCGAGTCAATGAGAGATTGGTATGTGTAGGCGCACCAATTGTACTCTTTAATCATATCAACATCAATCAATGAGTTTAAGATCTTGTACTTGGAGTAGCGTGTTGTGTTTCCTCGAAGCATGGAGGAAACGGCAAAGACT